CCTTTTACTACGTTTATTGCAGGAATTAGGATGGTACTAGCAGGTTTATAGCATGGTTAGGATATTATTCAATTGAATTACCATGTTTTTAAGTATCTAGCACACATTAGCATTATTAGCACATTGCTAGACATTTTTTATTTTTAGAATATATTTTTTAGACTTTATAATAAAAATTAAAATGTCAAAATATGGGTAAATAATAAAAAATTGATCATACTAAATTATATTTTAAATAATTACAAGTATTTTTAAACCAATCAAACAAATCATTACCACTACAAGACATTTCTTTTGCTGGAAAGAAATTAACTAATAGAGAAAATGTTCAGAATACCTCAGTTTGGGGGCCTGATGAATGTTTTTAAGGAAGAGAAACTGGTTGTGGATGCTGGATGCTGTTTATTTTTTATTTTAAAGTTCTGTAATTTATGAATTATTTATTTCAGCTTTTATTTTAAATCTTTCTTAAACCAAGTTATTAAACTAATTCAGCATCAAATGATCCTTACAGCATTGATTTGAAATGGAAATATTTTGTATTTAATTCTTTTGTACACAATTTTATACACCCTTGCTTAGTAAAAGCACTAATTTCCTAATATACAAACAAAAGAAGATACAAATAGCCGGTTTAAATAGAAAAATCAACTTTATTTAGCAATATCTGTAATTTGCTGTAAATATTGCATTATGTACAGAGGAATATTTAAAAATCAAATATCCAACAACGGAACACATAAAAACAGAATGCATTCAAAATATGCAGAGATGGTAAACGACCCTCGCTTCCCTTTGCCAACCACCAGGTCATACTTTTGTAACCGATACCACCACAATAATCCGACACTAACGTTCACGAACATCCCCCCTAAAACAAATACCACCTACAAACAAGTGCTGTGAGTTTTCCACACACAACAGATCCTGATTTCCCAGAGTTCTGCAAGTCTAAACGTGTCCAAAAACACAAACGCGGGCAGATGGGAATGTCAAAGATAAAGAACCGTGACAATGTGCTGATGTACTAAACAACATTTTATAAAAATATTCTCTAGTCAATCACGCTCAAACGACGACATGAAGCATCTATCCATTCCTCATATGGTAAAAATAACCTCTACGCAATTTAATTGTCATTAGTTAGCACGTACATAAAAGAAAACGGACATCAAAACTTCCTATAATTAAAACATCCTAACACGCATCCAATTCTGGAATGTGAAAAAGCGCCCAAATGAGCTAAAGCACTTGTTTTTGTTATTTAAAGCACAAATGGTTTGATAAAATCCAGAAATTAGGACAAAAAATGACATAATATTAGATAAAACCTAAAATAACACAGAGTTATATAACCGTAACCAGATGTGTTGTGTTATTTCCAATAGCTTGTGCACACAAAACTATTCCAATTGAACCTAATGTGCAGTCATCCAATCTAGTGCAGATTCCCCCAATCTGTAAGCGATCAAAATAATGATACTAGTGAGAAGTAGTGAAATTAATGAGGATTTCTGCGGTGAAACTCCTCATGAACTGACATAAATAATATGGTTAAATAAATAATTAGTCAATCGAACCCAATATTCAGTGTTTTTGCGGACAAAACAGGCATTGATTTTAGTGTCAACTCAACAATGTGGGAAAAACTTTGAAAAATGTGATGGAAAATAAAACGGCAGTTTATTAGGTTAGCATGATCAAATGAATCATAACGCTGCAAGTGAAAATCTGCTGATAATTTACTCGCCTCAAGTCATAAAACATGCAACTTTCCTTCTTCGCTAGAGATTCAAAGAGCATTTTCAGTTGAAATTGCGATTCTTGCGGATGACAACATGCGATCAGAGTTAAAAAACAAAACAAACCTTAAGTAAAATGTCGTAAATGATGTTCAGTTTTAGCACAGACTGATAGTTTGCTTCTTATAGGAATAGTTCACTCCAAAATTTAAATGAACCCATTCATTTACTCACCCTCAAGTCATACTTGACTTTATAGATAGTAGAAATAGATATATATCATATATGTGAAGAGTAAATATAGATATATTATTGATAGTTATACTTTATAGACGTTCTTCTTTTGTACAAACACAGTTGTAGTACTTTTACATTTTATTTATGCTGTAATAATGTATTCCACAGGTGTCAAACTCAGTTCCAAAAGGGCCGCAGCTCTGCACAGTTTAGTTCCGACCCTAATTAAACACACCTGATGAAACTAATTGAGTCCTTCAGGCTTGTTTGAAACCTACAGGTAAGTGTGTTGGAGCAGGGTCGGAACTAAACTGTGCAGGGCTTCGGCCCTCCAGGAATTGAGTTTGAAACCCCTGATGTATTGGATAGTGGCCCTTTTTGAAGCATCCAAAAGTGCATGAATTCATTGTAAAATACACCACCAAGGGGTTCATTCATATCTTATAAAGCAGATTGGTGTGTTTTTGTCACAAAAATATGTCACATTTGTAAACTAGAAACTCAAATCACTGACTGCTGAATAATAATATATAGACGATTCTCACAGGAAACGCTTAACATGGTTTGTTTACTGGAGAAGACAGGGACGAACAAGAAAAACAATGGTTTGGTTTTACTGTATATTAAATGTAAATCAATGGCGGCAACAGCAAGGCTCAAAAAATACAATTTTATTAAATTAAAAATGCTGACACAGAGCGTGTAACGTTTTGAGCCACCCGGCTCTTCATCAGTCATTGTCTGATGAAGAGCCGGGTGGCTCGAAACGTTACACGCTCTGTGTCAGCCTTATTAATTTAATAAATTTGTATTTTTGGAGCCTTGGTGTTGCCGCCATTGATTTACATTTATTTTGCACTTTTTGCGGTTTTGGCTGAGCACCCAATTAAGAGAGATGTGCGTGCTTTTGTACAGTTTTTTCATTGGTTTTATTGTATAACACAAGAAAAGACTATTTCTGCGATGAACACATCTTACGTCTACTCAAAGATCCTTCAAGAAATTGTCGAGAATGTTCATTCGACAGCCATTTGAGTGGCAGTCAGTGATTTAAGTGTGTAGTTTGACATGAAGTCTTTTGTCACAAAAACACATCAGTCTACTTCATAAGACTTATCCTTTTAGATGCTTAGCCCTTTTTTTAAGCATCCAAAAGTGCATGAATTCATTGTAAAAAATAACCCATACACCACCAAGGGCTTCGTTTATATCTTATAAAGCAGATTAGTGTGTTTTTGTAACAAAATGTCACATTTGTAAACTAGAAACTCAAATCACTGACTGCTGAATAATAATGTATAGACGAGCGTCACAGGAATCACTTACTATGGTTTGTTTACCAGAGAAGACAACAGCAACAATAGCAAACGAACAGCAAAAATAAATGGCTTGAGAATGTCACTGTATAACCGTTAAACACAAGACGAGTCTATTCCCAGAGCTTCTGCGATGAATACATTTTACATCGAGACAGAGATCAGATCGCTCATTCGACAGTCATCAGAAGTCAGTGATTTGGGTTTATAATTTTAAAAATGATTCTTTTTGTTACAAAAACACATTAGTCCACTTCATAAGACATGTGTAAACCCCATTTTTAATGTATGGCTTGGTTTTATAAAACATCTACGTGCATTTGAAAGTTTAAAAAACGGCCACTATCCAACACCATTATGAAGCACTGAAGAGCCAGGATTCATTTTAAATCTACTCCGACTGTGTTTGTCTGACAGAACAAAGTCATATAAATCATGGATGGCTTGAGAGTGAGTAAATTATGAGGTAGTTTTAAATTTTTGGGTGAACTACACCAATGTTTTCCAACCCTGTTCCTGAAAGCACACAAATATTACACATTTTCCATGTCTCCTTAACCAAACACACTTGATTGAAATCATCAGCTTAGTAGCAGAGACTGAAATACCTGTGATGAGTGAGACAAAGGAGTCATCCAAAACATGCAGTGTTGGTGGTTCTCCAGGAACGTGGTTGAGAAACACTGAACTAGACCAGTGTTTCCCAACCCTGTTCCTAAAGGCACATCAACAGTACACATTTTCCAACCTCTTCCAATTCAAACACACCTGAATCAACCCATCAGAACATTAGGAGAGACTTAAAAACCTGAAATGAATGGTTCAGATGTGGAAGACATCCAAAATATGTACTTTTGTTTAGCCTCCAGCAACAGGGCTGGGAAACACTGAACTAGACACCTCAATGTCAGGAGCAAGTCTTCTTCTGGACTCTCAAAACTTGACTTGCATTGCCAAGAATCACAGTTTGAGCTAAATAATACCTTTATTAAAGATTCTCAATTCTCTAAATGAAGAAAAGTAAAAGCCACCAACATCTTAGATGCCCTTAGGATGAGTAAATGACCGTCAAATTTCCATTATTCAATGAACTGACTATTTAAAATGTGTTTTAAGACTAAAGTGCAAGCTAAAACTCATTTTAAAACCTTTCAAAACCACTTTCTCGAATGGAGTTCAATGTAACAGCTCAATAATAAACCTACAACCGTACATAAAGAGTTCATCTAAGAGTTTAGCATGTACACATGACTTTCGGGCATTATAAAAATAGTAGTTCATGATTTGATGGCAACAGAACCAAAAATACTGTTGATTGTGTCAATGAAAACATACTGTATGACGTTCGAAAGTTTAAACAATGAGCCATTAAAACTATTAAAACCACAGTATTACGATGAAATCGACCTTGGCAGTCTTTCTCGATCATAAACGTTTGCTTAAAAAGAACATATATAATATTGCATGGGCCCTGAATGGTGTTTAGAACGTCCAGTTAACCCCAATATGGTACATTCAGTTGTTCTCACGGATGACGAATACGCTAGGTTAAGGCTAAACGGTGTTGATAGCAGCTCAAACGCTCTAATACCAATGCAATGAGTCTGTGGGATTGTGGAGTGGAGGTCAGGTCCATGTACATGTAGCTCTTTCTCACCTCCACCGCACGTCAGGCTCAATAAAGATTTGGTTTTTTGAAAAGCAGCCATCCTGTTGGCCAATAGTGTGATTGATAGGAAGATGTGCGGCCTCAGACTGGCATGTGCATCTCTGTGTATTCATCCTGTCCTTCCTTCTCGTCAAAAGTGGGCTCTGCGTCATCAGCGTCCAACTGAGAAACAGAAGAGATGATTTTGAAGAGAGCTTTAGTCAATATGATTGGGACAGAAAATACTATTTACTGCATATTGTACTCGTGTGCTTTTGTGAGTTATGTCCTCTCAAAAATTTATTGCAAAGACAAAACAAATTGCTCTCTTTCCAGGTGATGTCCCCTTAAAAAGATTATTCATTCATTCATTTACCTTCAGCTAAGATTCTTTATTTACTAGGGGCTGCCACAGTGGAATAAACCACCAACTTATCCAGCATATGTTTTACACAGCGAATGCCCTTCCAGCTGCAACCCAGTACTGGGTAACATCCACACACCCTCACATTCACACACATACAATACAGCTAATTTAGTTTATCCAATTCAGCTACAGCGCATGTCTTTGGACTGTGGGGAAAACCGAAGCACAGGAAACCCACGTCAACACTGGGAGAACATGCCAACTCCACACAGATTATTATAATAATAAAAGTATTTTTTATTTCTGTTCACAGTATTCGAAGAAAAAATGGCTAAAATTTAAACAAAGCAAAAAATAAATAATAATAAATTAAGGTAATTGTCCTAAACAAAAAATAATAATAATAATAAATCTGTTCACATTATTCCACAGAAAATACTAAATGTAGCATCTCCTTTTATATTTATTTATTAGTTTTTTAATTAGCATTTTAATAGTTTGTTGTTGTTAGTTGTTTTTAAAGAAGAAGACAATGTTATCTATTTTCAAAGTAATTGAGAGGTGTCTGGATGCAGACCTGGTGCAGTGCAATCTGAGCTGCATCCAATGCTTTTTAATGCGCTCACCTAACCCCACCCCTAACCCCACCCGTCACCGTGAAGTCATTCGCTCCATTGAGTGCATTGTGTCTGACATTGCATCGCAAGCTTGCATCATAAAGGCTGCATCCAGATACTATTGAAATCATTTAAATAATAAATTCTCCTACCATTCAGGTTTTAGACCAAAGACTACTACAGCCTTAATGAAGTTCACTAATGATTTGTTCATATCCCCAAGTCAACCCACTAATGCAATTTTTAATCTCACTTAAGCTTTTGACATGGTTGATCATTATGTTTTGTTGGATAATTTACACTTTGTAGGTTTTGATCAAAAATTCCTTTTTTGGTTTAATTCTTACTTTCAAAATAGACGTCAATACATTTCATTTAGAGGCTTTAACTCTGAGTATTCAGTTGTCGTGACTTACTAACTAGGATCATCCGGTCTGTCTTCAGCCCAGCTGTTGGCACTTAGCTTCTTCTATTTATTTCACTTAGCTTCTTCTATTACATACTTCATTGTCAGTTCATTACATTTTGTTTATGGCTTCTTTGCGTCTTGTCATGAACCTTGTTTATCTGGTGAACCCTTGGACACTCGGTTACCCCGATTCAGCTACTGCCCTTCCTCCCGACGCTGAATGTTTGCATTGTTGCTCACTGAACTTCCTGACTTATTCCATTAAAGTTTTACTTGCAATTGAGTCCATCTATCTAGTGTGTTTTCCTGAACGTGACACACTCGGTAGACACGGATATTAGATATGATGATGAGTTACAGTTGTCAAATGTTAATGGAATATCTAGGTCTTTGGTTCGATACTGAATTGTCCTTTAAAGGTGCTGTATGTATGTTTATGACTCTTCTAAACCATAAAATATGTTTTCAGATTTTTAAGAAACATGCAAAGTGAACATTCTTGTTTATCTAAAAACAGTGCTGAAGTAAGATATTCTGGTTTGAAAATGCACATTACATGCCAGAATCCTGTCTTTGTTTTGTTCTTTAAACCTGCCCAATTATATTTCAGCACCCGAGGTTGCCTTGGTGGGAAACCATGTATGTCATTGCATGCAGCAAATTATCTTAGTGTGTATGCGTCTTTTTGTGCGTGCAGAAGTCCTTACACACTGCATTTCACGATTGCTAAAGATGCGTGGTAGAAGAAACATCTTGACGGGGACAGTCATGATGAGAACAAAGGGGAAAGCCAGCGACGCCACCGTGGACATGACAGCCCAGAGAACAGCCAGACAAACCACCTGAATAGCTGTGAACAGATGCATCCGCAGCGTCCGCACCTGAGATCCAAACCAGAGATCAGTCAACAAACACAGCACAACACATCTTCACCGTTCATACAAGTGTCCATGTTACTGCCTCTATGATTTAAAAAGTAAACCAAAAACACAAGTCATTTTCTTTTCACATAGCGTGTTGTGAATGTAAGAGGTCTGCAAAGTTTCAAAGATAGGAAAGAAGTGACTCTGAACTGCCTGAACTACTGTCGAGTAAATCCAGTCTTACTTCCTGCACAATCCTATGTAGATTTGTAACTCTAAAAATGCAAAAACGGAAACACCAAGATGCTCTTAATTTTAAAACAACGCCCATTAAAAACTTTTGCGCACAACTGGTTGGATGCTATTTTTCTCCAATAAGAAAAAAAAAGATGTGTATGTGCATCAAAAAAGTCGTGATTTTATTTTAATTGACAAACCAGCAGATCCATCAAAGGAAAATGATTAAAATTCTTTGGTTTTTGAGCTAGATGCTAATGGTCTAATCAGAATCAATAATCTATGCTAAGCTAAGCTAAGCTAAAAGTGCATCAGCCAGACTCGGACTGGTTGAAAAAAAAGTGGTGAACCTCAATTGTTTAACTCTAAGAGAGCTGTAAAATCAGGCTATTTACAAGAAAAAAAAAGTTTTTAAACTGTAAAATTGAATATTTTTCTAAAGGAGATCTAAACAGTAGGGACCTTAAAAGGCATAATTATGTCTATTTAATAAGCAAAATAGCAGATTGCTGTCTGACCTTGCGCACGTATGTGTGGTCAGGGTGGTATTTTGGAGGCATCAGCAGAAGCAGGATCCGTTCAGTCATCTGGATCCCGTTCAGTGACATCACACCCATGTAGAGGAAGATGCCGAACAGCACAGCGATGGGGATTTGCCGGAGCAGATCACCGATAACTATTGACAGACCTACAGCCAACAAAACATCCTGCGTGAGTATATAATATCAATATACTATTCATTTAAAGGGGCGGTGAATCCCAAAAATGTGCAATGCTGTAATTTTACTCGCACTTAAGCTGTTTCAAACCTGAGTTTCTTTTATTTGTTGACTTAAAATACAAAAGTCATTTTTCAAAACATTCTCTTTTGTATTATGAAGAAACTTGTACAGGTTTGGAACAATTTTTTGGGGTTAACTATCTCTTTAATTCAACATTAAGGCATACAATAGTCATTTATACTGATTTTAGGCCCATTAAAATAAGGAAAATGTATTAATAGTTTTAAAACGGACAAAAAAAGTAACATATGTAACACCACATATGTAAAATCAAATCTGTCATGAAAAGAACAATAGAAAAAAATATATTCACTGACAACCAATCAGAATTTGAATATCTGAACAACATCAAAACATCAGTGCCTGCTTATAATAAACAAACATAATCATACTTTAATAAGGACTGTAATAGAGTTATTGTTCATAGTGTTATTAGGCCTTTAAAGTGAATTGAACTAAATATTTCAAATCTCAAACTAAGAAGGTCATAAGATATGTTGGTTTTCTACTAATGATAAAGCGTGTTTTTATCCAATAATATAGTAACTATAATTCTAACACCAGCTTATTGTTTATTCTAAAACAATTAAACATATATCCATTTAACTATACTAAAATACATTTTAACTAAATAAACAAACTTGCATTTTAATCACAATATTTTAATAATTGTTCATGAGATTTATTGCACTTATCAAAAGTTAGTTTTAATCTGGTAGCACCTAAACACAACATCAGAATCTGTTGTTGAAACCCACCAACAAGTATGGCTACCAGTAACCCAGTCACCCTCTGCTCCTTGACCTCCTGGATTCGAGGTTTGTCTCCTGGAGCGACTGCTTTACTCATCACGGTGAGGGCGTTTGCATGGGTGACGGAGCGTACAGTGGCTGCAGCCATCCAAGGCAGACCGAACAGCGCACTGGTGCCACCCAGAGTCACGATGAGCAACAGATCCAGATGGAAACCAGAACCCTTGACCAGCATGCGCTCTTTCTTGCTGACTATCAACCTAGAAGGAGAAATTAATGCTTTAAAACTGACAAGACTTAAACATGACAAAACAATGTTAACGTTTCCTACAAATTTGTGCAAAAATATGCACAAAATCTTATGTCACATAGCCACATACTTAAAAAAGTGTTTGCTTAAAATAAAGCTAGCTAAAAGTAAAAAAATAAGTAAATACTAAATAATAATAGTAATAATAATAAACAATACGATAATTACAGTAAAAAGAATAAATACAATAATACAATAAAAAAACAAATACAATAAATAGAGTAATCAAATTAAAGAATAAATTAATTAATTAATAAAAGAAAAAATGAATAAATGATAAAATACATGAATGAATAAATAAATCGATAAATAAATAAATGAATGAAGAAATAAATAAAGGAATAAATCAACAAATAAATGAATTAATGAATGAATAAACTAATTAATAAATTAATAACTGAATGAATAAATAAAAGAATAAACGAATGAATGAATTAATAAATAAATGAATGACTAAATGAATGAATAAAGACAATTAATGAATAAATGAAGGAATAAATAAAGCAATCAATGAATAAATGAAGGAATAAATAAAGCAATCAATGAAAAAATGAAGGAATAAATAAAGCAATGAATGAATAAATGAAGGAATAAATAAAGCAATGAATGAATAAATGAAGGAATGAATGAATAAACCAATGAATAAATAAATAAATGGATGAATGAATAAACAAATTAATGAATAAATTAATTAATGAATAAATAAATGAATGAAGGAATGAATAAATTAATTAATAAACGAATGAATGAATGAATAATTAAATAAATGAATAAATGAAGGAATAAATAAATCAATGAATAATTGAATAAATGAATGAATAAATAAATGAATGAATAAATAAAAAGGATATATAGACAGACAGACAGACAGAAGCGTGGAAATGGACTCACGTGGTGATTTGTGTCTCCATAAAGATAAGAATGAAGACGAGCAGAGCTGGAAGAATGCTGGCAAACATCATCCAGATGGGAAACTGACCGTCCGAGCCCAGAGGATTGACTATCCAGCCTCGCTTATCAGGACTAGTTACTGAAAAACCTCGGGGTACACTTAGTTTCTGCAAGGTGGAGCATTGCGAAAATATCTCATTAATAACAATAATAAAGAAAAGAAAGAAAATGTTTAATAATGAAAAAAAAATAATAATAAAATATGATTTCTACAAAAAAAGTGATGAACTAAAACAGTAAATAAAACAGCAACAATAATTACAACAGAGAAAAAAATTAACATAATATAAAGATACATAAATAACAATAACTAAATCTACGCATCATATTCTAAATAAAATATGTATTAATAATGACAAATAATCAATAATTATATATTTAATTACAAATAGTTAATTTAATGACAAATTATTAGGTCAAAAGTTTCTATTTACTATTTTGGGCCAATAGACTAAAATAAGCATTACATTTCTTCAGTTTCTCAGAATCATCTAGTAATAGGCAAGCCTTAATTCTCACCTGTGTGTATGTGTCTTTAACACTGTAGTCCACCAGAACCATGATGAGAATGGCAATAGGAACTCCAAAATCTCCAATAACTCTCCTTAACTGTGAATAAAAGGAGTTTTAGATCGCTTTCACACAAATTATTCCTTGCAGTCGCAACTCAACATTGTGTGTTTTGGCTTTTACCCTGCCCGGGAAGAAGGCGCTGTTCTTGAACTTGCGCAGGTAAAAAGCGATGAGGAAGGTGCCAGACATGAGCACTAATGACAGCAGAGCAGTGTTTGGTTCCCCCACCACCTTCAGCATCTCCTGTGAACTGCTGTTCGTAACTGCTAATGGACTTTCCGTCACTTCATCCATGCTGGAGTTCAGCGAGGAGTTTCTGACGTCCACAAGCACAGCAGAGCAGCGCTGCAGAGGATGCTCCTGGAAAATCTGAGCCACCAAATCACAAGTTAAGAAAAGTGGTCCACAGTGGTATATTGACTCTATATTGGATATTTACATGTTTTTCTCTTTGGTCAATAAGGCAAGATGTTTTTGTTGCTGTTTGAAGACTTTAAGAGCTTTTAATAAGTAGCCTTTTTTAGTCTAATGTAAGGTAAACATCACAAATAATCTTAAGTGTTTCTTTTGGCCCACTTTACCATTCTGTGTCTGTAGATTTCAAATACAAGTTTATCTGTTTGCTCATTAGGAAGGATTTTTTTATTGCTATTTTAAGACTTCAGGCTTTTAAGAAATATAGTTTTTTTAGTCTAATGTAAGGTAAACATCACAAACATCACAAATAATCTTAAGTGTTTCTTTTGGCCCACTTTATCATTCTGTGTTTGTAGATTTCAAATACAAGGTTATCTGTTTGTTCATTAGGGAGGAATTTCTATTGCTATTTTAAGACTTTCAAAAAACTACTTATCAAAAGCCCAATGAAAGGTAAACATCAAAAAATTAACTTAACTGCTTCATCTGGCCCACTTTATCATTTTGTGTCTGTATATTTCAAGTTTATCTGTTTGGTCATTCAGGCGAGATTGTTTGTTTGTTGATTGTTTTAAGACTTTGGGCTTTTACTATATTGTTTTTTTAATATTATATTTTTAGTCAAAACCTAAGGTAAAGATAAAAACTAAAGCATTTCTTTTGACCCACTTTTGTGTCTGTAGATTTCAAAATACATATATTTTAAGCACACAACAATTGTGAAAATGTTTTTTTTAAATTCTATTTTCGTTTATAAATTTATATAATTATATTTTTAATTGCATCTTTAATATAACCCCCCTGCCTGTTGGCAAAATTTTACATTTTTAATAAAAAAAGATTCCTAAATTTCTTTTAGTAAAAGCCTAAAATGTAAAAAATAAATAAATAAATAAAATGAATGAAACCAGGATGTGATATTGGCTGATTTGCATATTTAAAATTTCATTTATTATTTTATTTTCTAACACAACAAATTTTATTTTGCAATTTTTTTTATGTATCCAATCAACTGGGCAAGTATAGTGAAAACTAATTATTTTTTTAAATAATTTTTTTTATTTTATTACTTTAAGACAACGCAAATGCGCTGCTATCATTCTAGATCTTTATTTTATGTTGTCAAGAAATAAGGGCACAACATTAAATATTGAAAACTCTTCTACTTTTTCATGTACGATAATCTAAAACTATACCTTAGCCAGCTTTGAGAAGGTCTCATAGATGAAGATGAGCGAGATGAGGAAGGAGAAGATCTCTTGGGTGAAACGGGAGACGAATCGGACCATGAAACTTCCCTCAAACGCCACCATCAACACCACGATGATGATGAGCCAAAAACCAATCCAGACCCGCCCCGTCAGGTACTCCATATTATTGCCCTTACAGAACTGGAGAAGATGAGGGTAGAGGAGCAATTATTATTATTAGTAGTAGTAGTATGTATTTTTATTATTGTTTATTATTTTAAAAAGGGTGGTAAACTACATAAGTAAATTTAATAAAATAAACAAGTAAAAGAAATTAGTGCTGGGAAAGATTTATTGTGATTAATCACATCCAAATGTGTTTCCTGAATATATATATATATATTAGTATTATAAAAACAAAAATCAAATAGGGTGCTCTACATCATCAAATAAAAACAATAAAAGCAAATAAATAAAAATATTTATTAATTGTAATAAATAAAAAAATATAAAAAAGAGTCAACAAAACTATAAAAAGTAAATCAAATGTGTTTGCTTACGGGGTTGTCTTAAAAAAAAGAATTTCCGAAAATGTTTATCATTTAAAATCTTTAAAAATAGGAGTAATGTTAAGGCTGATTTTAGCTTGCCGTTTATTTAGAAGAATACATTAACATTTACTTAATATTTACTCACCCCTAAATGGTTCCAAACCTTTATTTCAGTTTCATTATTCTGCTGAACACTAAAGAAGATAATTTGAAGAAAGTCGAAAAGCTGAAACTCCCAAATTCAATGGTTACAGGATTCCAACATTCTTCTAAATATCTTCTTTTGTGTTCAGCAGAAGAAAGAAACTCAAACATAAAAGGGCAGGTAAATGACGACAGAACTTAAATTTCTGGGTGAATTACCCCTTTAAATGATTTTGTGCTAAATAACTATCCAACTAAACATTCATGTGTGTGTGTATAATATATATATATATATATATATACATATATATATATATATATATATATATATATATATATATATATACACCAGCATTAAAAACTCACAGAGAAGAAGGCTTCTTCAAACACCAGTATTGGTCCAGAAAAGCCCACAATGAGCAGAGGCTGAGCCCCCAGCAGACAGAACAGCACACCCTGAACACACGTGGCCACGATCAGCTCCGACACACCGAGCAGCCCTTCAGTCTTCTCACCTGACACCAAATCACACATCCAGAGACATTAATAATAATAATCAGACAGAGGTCAGACATTTACACTGATTCAATCTGTACCGAGTTTAACATGACACACCTTTTTAAATGACTGCTATTATGCAAAAATCCCTTCAATAAGGGGTTTAAACACAGTTGTGTGACAACAGTGTGTAAATATAGCCCGTTTCTTATGGTTTAAATGTATTAATTTTATTTTTTATGATCACACTTGATAAAAACAGTCTGCAAAACACTTTGATTGACATTCCCCTTTTGTACGCGTCATCAGAGGGGGAAAGCCCCGCCCACTAGTGACAATCTCTCCCTCCCTCACTAGCATAAACAGCCTTCGCACAGAGTGAGAAGCAGCCATCCTCCATTAAGAGCTTTCACCTGCTAAAGATAATGTTAGCAACTAAGAGGCATTATAAATGTGGAGTTTCTTTCGAAAAGAGAGCTGGTAGCACAATCTCATTTCAATTTAAAGCGACAATCGCCAAAACGACACATTTTAGTTCAAAGCCTAAAAGGGGCAACTTTAAATATTTATAAAACATTGAATGTGTGGTATTTTGAGCTGAAACTTCACATACACACTCTAGAGCAGGCATCGCCAAACCTGTTCCTGGAGGGCCGGTGTCCTGCAGATTTAAGCTCCAACCCTAATCAAACACACCTGATCAAGCTAATCAAAATCTTAAGCTGCGTTCACACTGGGCTTTTGCTCCCACAGACTTCCATTCATACACACGCGACTGCATCAGAACGGAAACGCAAGGTCATGCGTTAAGTTTCGCAGGTTGCTGCGGTGCAAAGTTCAAGCTTTGTGAACTCTGACCTGCGAAATCGCATCACTTGACTGCGTGAGACCAACCGAGAATCAAAACATGTCATCTCTGGACAGAAATGTAAAACATGGAGCAATCGCTCGTTTTTTTAATGCCTAATAATCTTGTTTAATCCCGCCCCTTTTCGCAGCGCCGTACGACAGAATTTCGCACACACAAACTCTAGTGTGACTGCAGCTTTACTAGGTCTACTTGAAACACCCAGACAGGTTTGTGGAGGCAAAACTGGAATTAAACCCTGCAGGACACCGGACCTCCAGGAACGAGATTGGTGACCCCTGCTCTAGAGACATCAGAGACTTATTTTACATCTTGTAAAAAGTGGCATAATAGGACGCCTTTAAACATTTGAATTCGAAACACTGCTGGCAAAAACACTTTCCTATTCACTTTATTTCAGTCTAATGGAATCAACGGCCAAAACACACATTTAAGCATTCCTTTTGGAACAGTTTATCAATTCATTTCTTTAGATTTCAATTAAATTCTTATCTTTAATGCTGTTTTCACAAAAAAAAAAAAAAAGTTCTACTTTGAGCCAAATTTTTCGACTTCCTGTACGTCCACACTACCCTTATACATGTGTATTTGTGTTTAACACATTTAATTGTAAAATAAAATTGGGAAAATTTGTTTTATCCTGGCTGTTAAAAGTTTTTTCTTAATCCAAATGATTCTATAAAACTCCCGAGTAAAAATCTTTTATTGTAAAATGTTAAAAAAAATTAAACAATAATTTTGAATCTCACTTAATACAACATTAGAAATGTAAACCAGGATTTACTGCATATTTAATCAAATAATGTCTCATTTGCATATATAAACATGCTATTTTGGAAAGTCCTAAAAACTATGTGGATAAAAGCCATGACAGCATAACTTGTATGTTACTTGAACTCATTTTATTAAGTTATTCAGGTTTCAACAAATTTCTGTAAGTTATATAAAGTTAAACTTAATACATTTGCTCTGTTTAATTAAAAGAAATTTAGATGAACGTTTTATTTAATATAACAAAAATAAATAAATAAATCAATCAACTGTGAAAATAACACTAACCAGCAAAAGTCCTGTCACTGATCCCAGTTGTAAGTTATTGTAATAATAACTTAACTTCTAGTCGATCATTTGGAAAAGCGGCAGAAGCTCAATTTTTCAATCCATCATCTGTTGAACTGCCTCCACATAAAAGTTCAAAGCGCTCCAGGATTGGCCAGCCCAGTCACCAGATATGAATATTATTGAGCATGTCTGGGGTAAGATGAAGGAGGAGGCATTGAAGATAAAGACAAAGAATCTTGATGAACTCTGGGAGTCCTGCAAAAACGCTTTCTTTGGCATTCCAGATGACTTTATAAATACTTTGAGTCATTTGCCTTTCATTGAAGCCACTTCTGATACCAAATGATCAACTAGAGGTCAAGTTACTATTTGTTGTCCCCAAAACTATAATAGGCGACAAGACTTTTGGCAGGTAGTGTATTCGTTCATTTCATCTTATTCAGCTGTCATTTACAGTCATAAAAATTTCATGAAGAACCTTGAAAACAGAAATTGTTTTTAAAATGATGCATTGGTAGTCGCATTGCAATGTTAGTGTCACTGACCCAAAAGTCCTCCAAATGTGATGGCAGGGGAAAGAGCAGCGAAATAGATGAAGATGACCGCAGCCATGCATTGGGGGTTCAGCGCATCCCTGAAGTCACTGATGTATTTTGGGTAACGGCGCTGCGCATCCCGAATCAGCCCACCAAACAGACGACCAGTGCGTTTTAAAGGGTCATCCTCTGGTTTAAAGGGTGCCAGCAAGGCCTCTGTTTTACACATAGAGAGAGAAGATGGGATTTTTGTTTATATAAAAGAATGCTAGTAAAAGAAAAAAAAAACTAAAGAAAAACTAGATAAAAGTCTATTTATTGACAACTGAAGTGCATGGAAAAGAAAACGTAACTAAAGAGACACTAGGCAAAGGCTGGTCTATATTTCTGATGGTATGATAACTGGTATCAGATAACTGGTTTTAGACCGTTTATTTGAATGCCTGGGTAAAAAAAAAACTTTTTCCCATCATTGAACACAACATATTTCATTTTAAAAAACATTTATCATATTTTGTAAAAGTAAACATGTCAAGCTAAATAATTCAAATAAATCCTTGACTTCTGTTAAATGTATCTTCATTAGCTTCAAATACACAGATTTCTTTACAACACACAAATAAATCCTTTTACCATATAGCTTAGGAACGGTATAATAGAAAATTTCAGCGGTTTTAAAACCTTTACTTTTCCTAAACGTGGTAAACATTGAAACTGGTTATCCTCCCATGCCTAATAGACACAAAAGCAATACCAAACCTAAAGCAACCACAAAAAGACAGAAAACCAAGAATGAAAAGTTTAAGACAGACAAAATTTAGCATCCATCATCTACTATAAATTACTTAAAAAATATACTGCAGAAAACGTGTTTTAGTGCATTTAAACAGGGAAAAAATGCATGAAATAAAATGAAAATAAGAGTATGGTCATCTCATTTCTTTAGGAATAGAGCGATAATGCGTTCAATTTAAACTAAATGATTGACAATTTCAACAAAATTACATTTTTTATTTCTTGATTTTTCTTCTATATTAACATGTTTGGAAAATGTTATATATATATATATCTATATATATATGAAGTATAAACAAATAAAACATAATAAAAAACAAATAAAACACAGCTAAAGGAAAAACTAAAATAGCTCCCCCCAAAAAAATGACTACAAAAAAATTTAATGACAAAAATAAAATGCACTAATAAAAGTAAAACAGCAAAAAATTATAAATAAATCTACATATAAATCTCTTTACATCCAAATAAGAAATAAAAAGTCTAACCCAGATGAAAAAAAACCTCCACAAAAGACTAAAAAACTAAAGAAAAAAACTGCATACAGCAGCAGAAAAGCAAGAGGCAATAATAATAATTATTATAATGTCATTATTTTTATTATATGAAGGAAAAAGAAAAAAAGTATCAAAGAAAGCAATAAACCTTTCTCCTGGAGGCTCTTGGGTTCTTTGGCCATCAGGGCCACCCCCTGCTCCTCTCTCTTACGGAGCATCTCTCTCTGGAAATGAGCAACGGAGCGCAGGAGGTCTTCTCCACCCAGCTCTGATGGAGGTAGAACAATACTGCAGTCCAGGAACCCATTGATGGCGTTTAGCAGATCCTGACGGTCATCGGCCAGGTACGCAGCTTCATGAAATTGCTGGACAGAGATCAGATTACATTTTTATCAAGATTTTAACCTTAAAAGATGCATGTGCTTATATATTAAACAAGAACAGTTTTTGTCACCTTGTCCGACATGAGTGTGGAAATGGAGCGTCCGATCTGGTGGTAGTCCATGTTGGTGCTGGGAGGACCAAGCAGGACAAAGAGGAACCGCACAGGAACAGGCACTTCCAGCACCGAGTCCAGCTCTACGGCCTCCTGGAGGCGAACAAACGCCATGGTGGGCTGCTCCAGGAAGTCAACACTGCCTGACAACAGACAAATGCACTTAGTATCCTTTCTTCAACTTATTTTCCCTTCAATGGGATAAAAAGGGTTCCCACAATTCCTTGACTACCACTTACTTAAAAGCTTACTACCACTTACTAAACAGGGCACAATTGTGCTTTGCATAATATTAAGTTCAAGATCAAGCTTAATTTATTTATATAGCACATTTCCAACTGCCTCAAGGCTGCACAAAGTGCTTTACAGAGACAGAATAAACACATGATATGAGCATAAAAACAGCAACAACAGCAATAGGCACATACTAGGAAAGAACATAGAGAGCATATATCAATAAAAGAGCTAAATTAAATTAAAATAATGATAAAAAGAATTGCCTAATTAAAAGATGCTACCACACTAAACCACAACACTAAACACGATTACAAACATGACCGTTTTGATCCCCCTGCCCACTCCAAGCACCCCTGAAGGGAAGGACTTATGCTTCAAAAGACCTAGAAAATAAGTGTGTCTCTAATTTAGACTTAAAAATAGGCAGCGCCGAAGCCTTTTTTAGTTCTAATGGCAGGTCGTTCCAGAGGCGAGGACCTGCTATGGCAAAAGCACGTTCGCTCCTACTTTTGAGGTGGGCCTTTGGAAGTTATAATAAGAACTGATCAGCAGAACGCAAGTGTCTGGATGGAGGGAAATTAACCATCAGTTGGGATACATAGTGAGGGCTTAGACCATGTAGGGCTTTATACACAAAGAGAAGGATTTTAAATTTGATAATTTGTGTCACCGGTAGCCAATGTAGAGAGCTCAGAATAGGAGTGATGTGTGCATATTTCGGGCTTTTTGTTAAGAATCTAGCTGCTGCGTTTTGCACTAACTGTAGGCGAGCAATCTGAGACTTAGGCAGCCCAAAATAGAGAGAGTTGCAATAGTCCAACCGGGAGGTTATAAACCATATTAAAATGGTTTAAGCATAAATAGTTACTATTAAAGTGTTTCAAAAGACTCTATGAGAACAACAATAGATCATTTACCTCAGATTTTGTTTAAAAAAGCTAATGTACTTGCTCTTTGTATGTTTGTGAATACGAAGTGCTCCCTCTGCCACATTTAATCTGCCATGCTCAAACGTAGTTTTACAAATATTACTTTTTTTATATACTTTTTTAAAATTTCTTTTAAGAAGAGAAGAAAAAATAAACAAATAAATAAATAAATAAATAAATAAATAAATAAAACAAGGGGGAAAAAATACAAAAAGTAGGTTAAAAAAAATAATAAAATAAAGTAAATAATACAATAAAACACCAGAACTTAAATGAACGGTTGACAGGTCACATATTTCCTTACAGGTCACATGAACAAATACATATATATAAATCAGATTACACTCTGTAAAAGCATAAGTACAATCAATTTCTCCCAATATTGCAGGTATTTGTCCATTTGTAGCTTTAAAGAAAAAGTCATCCTCTCCATATTTTGAACATTTGATATGATATCCAACCATTCAGATTTTGTAGGGGGTTCCAGTTGTAGCCACTTTCGAGTCACAGTTTTCTTACTGTTTGCTAGGAGTATTTTTAATAAGTACTTGTCTTTTACCGTTAAGTTGGCTGCAATATTTCCCAGATAAATTGTTGTAAAAAAAAAAGATCCACAACATCACCAAAAATATTACGTATTACTTGCTTTACATCCTTCCAATATGACTGAATGGCTGGGCAACTCCAAAATATATGAAAGTGGTTTGCCAAGTCTTCTCCACATTTCCTCCAGCACTGCCCCCGGTGCTTCTCCTGTGTTTGCATGTATGTTAATTTGGGGGTTATAAAGTATCTGGTAAGATTCTTCCAGCAAAAATCTCTCTACATACCAGAATTGGAAGAGGTGGCCTGTACTGAGCAGAAATTCAACCAATCTTCCTCTGAGATAACTAGGTTGGATTCTCTCCCCCATTTTACAAATATCACTTTTAATTTCTGTCATTGTCTATTAACACCCAGTCTTTGAGGTGGTTATTTCAAAGCCAAACTTCCGAGACATTATACATTATCCTGCATGTTAGTGTTAATTAGACTCTAATTAATCAGAGACGGCCATTTGATAAGGATAAAATACATTTAAAATGGAGCTGAAACAGCAACAGGTGTGAAAAGAAATGCAATACAAACTGTGGTCCCACTTTATATTTGGTGGCCTAATATAATATTATGTACTGTATTTACACTGAAATGAATCATTTGGTTTAATGTATTTATTTAAATACATGTTTTTACAATGATTAAATACCTGCATGTACTGCATCTGTAATTACGCCATTGACCATCCCTTCCACCTTAACCCACACTTTAACCTACCGATACCACCAAACCGGTCTCTAACCCTACTCGTATCCCACCTCATGAGAACCAGAAGTATTCTGCAATACATTACGAACACAGTAAGTACATTTGATTTATTTTTTGACTCGAGTACATGGTAGTTAAGTCCACTCAATTTAAAGTGGAACCAAAAATGGTGTAGACAAAATTAAATAATAAATAATGGTATATTTCCTAATAATGGTACATTTCTGAAATAAACCTTTGATAATTCCAAGATATTCCAGAAATCTCATGCAAACCCTGGATAAACTCAAAACAATGACTTCAAAACAAATGCTAGAGAATCAGATTATAACTGCTTACCAACAAGTACAACAGTGGCTTCAGCATTTTCCGGGATTTTCTCCAGAAGCTTAAGTTCATGTTTTGATTTGGATCTGTGCATGCCTATAGGTGTAGCCGAGTCTTTCTGCAAAGAACATACAGTAACAGACGAAAACAAAATAAATAAATACATTTGAGAGATACAGTTTAAATTGGCAACGACAGAAAAAAACGTATCTTTAGTGTTTCTTGACTAGAATAATGTTCAGTTTAGTTTCAGTTTCCTTTATTTTGTCATTCAAAACATCACAATAGAATTGTAATGCAGAACAAACTTACATTGTAACAGACCCAACAAGAACATAAAAAAACATCACTATAAAAACACTATAAAATCCTAACAGGATAAATAAGCTTTTATAACTCCATAAAAATATAGTTATATAAGATATAACCTATTTTAAAAAATCTCTGAAGAGAATAACTTAATACTTAAATACCTATTTCACCATATGTTGTAATATTACCAATTTATGCTAGTTTAACTATTTATTAATTTATCACTTTCACACTAGCTACCAACAATGTTTAAGAAATCTCATTAACAATGTGTAAATGCGTCAATAAATTAAATTTAAAACTCATTAAAATGTGTTTTTTTTAATGTTTTTTTTTTAATCAGCAATTTTTTTTTCAAAATAAACTCTTTTTTTTCTTTTTTTTTTGAAGTATTACATTTATAAAATATCTCTTCTAAACCCTCATCGCTCTTCTTTCATGAAATTACCTCGTTCTTATCGATGTCAATGTGCACGGTGCTGTCCTGACTGGCCCTGCTGGAGCCCATAAGCGGCTCCATGACGGAGGTCTCAGGGATGGTCAGATGGTTGGAGCTGCTCTGGTGGTGGCTGATCAGAGAGCCCAGGCTGGCGGCAGAGATGTTTCTGGGGAAGGAGGTGATGTGCTCTTTCTCATCGCTCGGGTGACTGAGGGAAGGAGAGCAGGGGAGGAAGCGGGTCAGAGACACAAGCAGAGACTGCGAAGGATCGTGGGTAGATCTACATATACAGTAAAAGCGGGTGGCGGGATGGTAGACCGAGAGCATTAGATGAATGACAATCACACATTCAAAAAAAAAAAAAAAAAAGGATCACTGGATTTAATTTCTATGGGCTAAATTTAAGCAAAGTAAATTAAGTGGAACATTACTACATTTCATTTGTTTGTTTAAATTCAGCCCATATAAATTATTTGCAGTTTCCTTAAAAATTTAGTAAATTAAATGAATCATTTTCAGTGTTGGGGAGTAACTAGTTACATGTAATGGCGTTATGTGATTTGATTACAAAATAAATGTAACAGTAATTCGTTATACTGTAGTTACTGGGAAAAAAATGTGTAATTAAATTACAGTTACTTATGAAAATGTTAAAGATTGCAAATGGGGTTACAACTAAAAATGTTCTTTAAAATCTGGGCAATGTTGAATAATATTAATCTGTTGCATTGCCTGTTTTTGATAAGCATGATGCCTTCTGCTAAGGTCATTTATTAAAGCGGTGCTATTCTGATGCTTCTGATTGGTTTTCAGGTTTGATATCGCGACGCATGGTGAAAGCAGCTACTACAAACAGTCTGAGAGCTGCCACCATGGCGAGTGATAAAAATGCATTTCATTGCTGGAAATTTAAAAATCATTTCACCCTGAAATCTGAAAAGGACACAAATAAAACAGTTCAGTGCAAGATCTGTTTGCCAGCTGTTAAAACACTTTTGACATCAAAGGCTTCAGTGTAGAATCTGAGAAAGCATCTGCAGGTATGTAACCTAGCCATTCTTTATTTTATAAAAGCACATGGTTTTTGTCATTATCATGAGTGTACAGAAATAAAAACAGACCCTTTCATTTTTGACTCAAAGTTATTGGAATTTGATGAATTGATTGTATTTATTTATTTTCGAACTGAAATATCATACATAAAATATCATTAACAAAAAATACATTTCAACATGGTCCAAAATGGAGAGGGATGAAGCACAAGCTTATTATTTTCCCACTCCATTACCAAATCCATCATTCGTCTATTTCTTCAACTTATTTCTGCTTTTACTTGTCTCTTCTTTTTACATATTTGATCCTTTTGGCAACTTTTACAAATTGTATGTTTAATTCCATTTGTACCTTTACATTTGAACATACTTTTGTATGCGTTTTGGAAGTAATTTATTCCTAGCTTTAAACATAAATTGTGCTGTTTTAAATTTAACCAATTCATTGAACTTAAGTATTTTCAAATAAAAAAAAAAAAATAAAAGATTTGTATGCACCAAATACCCCACAAGTTCTATCAGTGTGTGTGTGTATATATTTATATATATATATATATATATATGTGTGTGTGTGTGTGTGTGTGTGTGTGTGTGTGTGTGTGTGTGTGTGTGTGTGTGTGTGTGTGTGCGCAAGTAAAACATATCAAATAAAATTTTATTTAAAATTTTGTTAACAATTAAATTATGTTGTTTGTCGCATATAATGAACTATTTACTGTATGTAATGTGGGTAAATGGTGTGTTATGATATATATATTTCACACAAACCCACAAATACAATTGAAGGGAAAATGATTTACCGTCCTGTGAATTTTTTTCTTTTTCCAAATATTTCCCAAATTATTTTTTCACAGTATTTCTTCTGGAGAAAGCCCCCCTGAAAAATATTTTTTCAAGTGTCTCAATTTGACAGTGACTAGCCTAATTAACCTAGTCGAGCCTTTAAAATGTCACTTTAAGCTGAACACTAGTGTCTTGAAAAATATCTAGTAAAATATTATTTACTGTCATCATGGCAAAGATAAAATAAATCAGTTATTAGAAAAAGAGTTATTAAAACTATTATGTTTATAAGTGTGTTGAAAAAATATTCTCTCTGTTAATCAGAATTTGGTGAAAGAAATATAGAAGGGGGCTAATTATTCAGGAGGACTAATAATTCTGTTTTCAACTGTACATTCTACAAAAAAAATTCCATTCAGAGTTTATATATATATAAAAACTCAAGACAGTTTCATTACTTAAAATCAACATTTTGGTTTGTGATTTCCGCCAGGACTCTGGAGCTGTACCTGTGTTTGAGCAGGAGCGCACGGAGGACGTTTGCTCGGTCCTCAGCTTTGATCTGGTCTGAGATGATCATCTGCTCCACCACCTGATGAGAGATGCCGGGTAAGGTTTTCTGATCCAGGTCCAAAAGCACAGCCCCTAATAGAGAAGAATTCAGAACATATCATCACAATTAAAGTCAGAAATATAACAATGATACAAAATGAACGCACCTTATCACAAATTCTTTTGAGTAAATCGAGATTAAAATTTCAGAAAATGACACCAATTATTTCACTCACACTGCAAAAAAAATTCAAATCTCAAAAAATTCTTAAATTGAGAAGCATTTTCTAGACAAGTAGAAAATATTGTTTTGTTTTTAAGACAAGTCAAAATCAAGCAAGTTTCTTCTTAAAACAAGCTAAATAATCTGTCGATGGTGCAGGTAAAATAATCTAAAACTGCTTAAAACTACCCAATAAGGTTTCTGGTTCGAGTCCAGGCTGGGCCAGTTGGCATTTACTGTGTGGAGTTTGCATGTTCTCCACATGTTCATGTGCGTGTTCCAGTTTCCCCCACAGTCCAAAAGACATAAGTGAATTGAATAAACTAAATTGGCCATCGTGTATGAGCGTGTGTGTGAATGACACTATGCCGGACTAAATTGGCAGTTCATTCCCCTGTAGTGACCTCTGATAAATAAGGTACTAAGCGCCAAAGGAATGATAAATAAAAATACTTCTTGAATTAAGATTTGTTTTTGATATTTGAACTAGAAACAGACAGACTATGCAAGTACTTTTACATAATACAGTACAATAAGATGCTAGATGTTGTGTCAGTTTCTCACCATGAGCGATGGTCTTCCTGAGTTCCAGCAAGCTGCGAAACGACAGCGAGGCCACGTGTGGTTTCCCCCAGCGGTCCGTCTCCTCCTCCACATCCTCCTCAAACTTAATCCAGCGTGCCGTTTCCCTCCACTGCATCTCCTGGTTCTTATCCATGATCAACTCATTGAGCTCTACGAACACCTGAGAAAGAGAACAAACAATAAAACATCATTACATTAATAATAATTTTTAAAAATCCACAATAAATTCATCAAGGTAAAGCAGCTAATGCAATAGATAAACTAAAAATGTAGAGCATGAAGGAAGCTAACATTGCTTTGATCTTCCCAAAATATTTCATTATTTCAATGCGTGAACGCTTAAAAACACCAAAACACCTCAGAGTTCAGTGTAAAACAGCTCATTTAAAAAGATTGTCTTGTTTCCAAGTCCAAATAACATTTTCTACACTCAAAAAAATAATAATGTTTGCTATTTGTACGAAATGTGTTCGAATTGTAAGACAGTAATTAGCAAAAAGTAATTAGTAAATAAATAAATAATAAATAAATAAATCCAGAACTCTAACAAAACAGATATAAAATCAGAATAACAAAAAACTGAAAGTGTTAACAGATATAAAGTCAAAATTAGGGCTGCACAATATATTGTTTCAGCATCGATATCGCCGTTATCAAATCTTTAATAGTTGTATCGCAGTATCTGCAATGTTGTGTTGGGATTATAATTATAATTTAAACCAATTGTGCATGAGAAATTATCAATTTTGTAGTTTCACCAATGATTAACGGCATTTATTTATACAATGAAGACAACAGTTCATCATCTAAAGTCGATCAAAAAAAGGTTTATAAAATAAGAATGGTTTAGGACAACATTGATTTTTAAGGTGGTTTTGATCCATTGCAAATGTTGACTACACTGAGTTATTTTGCATTTGATTATTTTATTACTGTACCTTAAATCTGTTAGACAGTGCTTGATTGTTTTCTAAAGTGTCTATTTCACTTGTACAGCATGTGTATGTTTATTCTAATGTATTTATTTATGTTCGACATCCGATTAATGTACAATTAGAAATTTTTCCCAACTAGATTTACTGGAATCATCTCAGGAAATTATAGTTAAATTTCAATATATAACCACAGAAATACAAAATATCACAGTGAGTACGTTTACATGGACATCAATAATCTGATTTTAATATGATTAAGACAATACTCTAAGAGTCTACAATGTAAACAGAGATTTTTGATTAGTTTAATCAGACTAAAGTCATAATCATGTGGAGTATGCCGATTTTAGTGGCAATATTGAAGTGCAGTACAGACATGTAAACACCTTAGTCAAACTATTACTGTTATGTAAGATTTTCGTCGCATTTTGCGACAGGATAGTCTATAAACACACAGCCGTTTGACACTATTGTCACAGGGGGCATACATGAAATGTTCCCGAATAAAAGCGAAAGAGATTTAAAAAACGAAAAACAAAACTACACAAAACTCCACAGGAAATGTGGATAGCATGCTGACGCAATGAGATGAATCAAATTATGTACTGTAACATGTAAAATGGGACCACGAAAGGATCATTTAAAAAGCAACTCAGGTAAACACCTTAATCATATTACGGTCTTATTCAGATTAAGGAAAATAATTCAATTTCTTAAGTCCATGTAAACGTAGTCATTGTCAGTTTTTGCTAATATCATGCAGCCTTAGTCAGAATTCAGAGATATAAACTCAGTATTGCAAGTAAAAAAAATTGAGAAAAAAAAAGTCAGAATTGTGACGCACCCATTAAAAAATAAATCAATAGTTTCAGGATATCAGTGCAAAAATGCAAGGAAAAATATCTGAATTAAAACAAATTTGTTACTGTGAAGAAAAAAAACATAGAATTGCAAGATATAAACTTGAAATTAAAATAAACTTTTCAATTGTAAAAAAAAAAAAAAAAAAAAAAAAAAAAAAAGTCTTAAATGTCAAAATTAAGTGTGTTTTTATTTAAAACAAGCAAAAATAATCTACATTTTTTGGCACACTACAAAAAATATTGGTTGCCTTAAATTAGGGATTTAAAAAAATGTTCAGCTGTTAAAAAAAATGTCAAACTGAATCAAATTAACCTTATGAATATTTTTACCTTAAATTATAGTAAACTGACATACAACTCCTTGCATAACTCATAAAATTAGGTTGGAACATAATTTATTTTTCCCTAATATGTTTATTGATTTTTTTCCTTTTTCACCCCATCAACTAGGCATATATATATATATGTATGTGTGTGTGTGTGTGTGTGTGTGTGTGCGTGCGTGCGTGTGTATATATGTATATACACATATACATACACACATATACAAATTCAAATAGGTAAGAAAATAAATAAATTTTATAACAATTAAATTATATATATGACATAAACAATGATACAACAATAAAAAATAATAATTAAAAAATAAATAAAAACATGTTTACAAACACACAATTTACATAATATTCATATATGGTTCCCAAAGATAGTCAAAGTCCTTCTGCTTGCCTTTAAAGATATAAGTTAGTCTCCAGTCCAATACAGTTCAATATTTCTTTTTTCCTTAACTAAAAACATAAATGTTGTCATGACTTATTGATCATATCATTTTTTACAGTGAATATGATTATTTTCCTTACCCCATTGGCAGATTATTTAGCTTCTTTAAATGAAAAAAAAAAAAAACCTCAACTTAATTTTCACACATTATTTCTTAAAACAAGACGATATATTTTGCTTATCTTAAATTTGTTACATCAAGATACATTGTTTAGACATTTGGACCAGAGAACAAGACATATATATTAAAAAATATATATTTAGTTAGAAAAGCATTTTTGCAGTGCATTCCTGACCTTCTGCTGTTGAGCAAGCCTCCTGGAAAAGTCTAAAAGGACCATCCCGTTTGTCCGAATAGCGGATTGGGACTGAGCGACGAGACGTCAGGTAACACTCTAAACATTCTTCGTAGTTGTATTCGTAGTAAAAAGCTCCATAATTACACTAATTTACTTGAAGATCTGGCTTGTTTACCTGTCTAGGCAGAGATTAATAAAACATGGCGGACTCTGAAGGCTTGCGGTGTTCGGTTACTCGGGGTGATTATTTCTTTATTCTTAGGTGTGTGAAAGGGAAGAAGTTCATTCATTTTTAATCGGCTTCTGCCCCCTGAAATCCTCCTTTTATTTGGTGTGAGGGACAGAGGGCTTGTTGGAAATAAAAGTGGGATTGCGGAAAGTCAGATTCAGTCTGGGAAAAGGACTAAAACTATTGAGATTTTAAGGCAACTATATTTGGAGGTATTTGAGATTTTATAGCTAAACTCCCTGCCAGTGGAAATGGCGTTAAAAATTTGCACTAAATATTTGGTTACAGCCTAAATGTGAATTTTCACACACTAATTGGTGATCAAATGACGTTTGTTTTAAATTAATTAATGTTTTCGATTAATTTAGATGACTATCAATTAACAATGCTGGTTGCTTGTGAAATAAAATTTAAATCCAAAGAGAATTCAAACTTCAGACACTAGTTTTCTTAGATAGAGATATTTTTGCATGATTGACTTACCATGTTTTAGCCGTCAATGTTAAGGTACTTGCTCTATGGATTTTAGTATAAATTATATTCATCCTAAACTTTTTTTATTAGATACAGATTTATGTCTAAAAATAATTCATTTTTTTTTAAAGCCTGGATTTGTTTTGGTGGTAAAATTATAAGTTTTTTTTTGTTTTGTTTTTTATTGTATTTTGTATTGATTTATTTTGATTTGTCATGTTTATCGTGTGCTTAGCCAGGACACTCTTAAAAAGGTGATAAAAGATTTCAAGAGGTTTTGCTGGTGAAATAAAGGGTAGAAATAAATAAATAAATGATTATAATATTAAAATAAATGTAAAAAGAAATAAACAATATATTTTTCATATTTTTTAAAAATATGTATTTATTTTGCAATTATATTATATAAATAAACTATAACTAAACTAAAATAAACTAAAGAGAGAAAGTTGAACATTAATTATTTGCATCAAAATTTTGTCAGGAGATTATTATTATTTTTGTATTTGTTTACTTAATTTTTATAGATTTTTTCGGAATATATAACGAGTGAAAACAAAAATAAATAAATAAATAAAAATAATTAAATAAATAAAAATAATAAATACATGTTTAAACTATTCAAATAAATGTAAATAGAAATAAACAATATATATTTTTATATTTTTTAGCAATTTTATTATATAAATAAACTATAACTAACCTAAAATAAATCAAAGAGAAAAAGTTGAACATTAATTACATTTATTTGCATCAAAATGTTGTCAAGAGAAAATTATTATTATTTTTTTATTTATTTGCTTAATTTTTATAGATTTTTTCGAAACGTATAACCAGTGAGAAAATAAATAAATAAATAAATAATAAAAAGTAAATAAAATAGATAAATAAATAAGCATACAATTTTTTTAATCCATTTCTTTCTCGATACTCTATATTGTTTGGTTTTCCATGACTTTGGAATCCTTATGTTCAGATTTTAATAATATTATCAACCTAACTTTAAGTAATCAACCGACATCATCCAATATCAAGCAAAATCGACCAATATTGCGGCATCAGTCTCACCTCATGCGGTGTCCGGTCCAGTTTGCGAGAGCGAGTGCTGCGCTCTTTGTGATCTTTACTAATGTGAACCATTTGACCCTTCGTGCTTTTCCTGACCAGATGTCGACGTACACCAGGAACATCTTCAAAACGATGACCTGGAAGTGTGAAACAATAAAAACATCTTTATTATAATGCATAAAACATAATTGCTAAAATGTTGAACTCAAAAACTCTTTTTTTTTTTTTTTTTGCGACACCAGTGTGCGTCACCATTTAGTGAACTTCAGCCAGTAAATTATTATTGCTTGTGTTCGCACTTGAATGCACTGGTATATAAACAGCATTGTTCATTTTATTTGGAAACACCAGTAAAAACAGAGATATAAATCCAGTTGATAATTTTTGGTTCTCAGAACGTTCTGGTAATGTTTGTTGTTGGATCCTTACATTTTTTTTTCCAAGACTTGATTTTGGTAGGAAAAGCACTTAATGAAATTAGAAATACAGTTTAAAATGATTCGATAATGCAAAACATTCAGGAACACTAAACACAAGTTGTTTTTAGGTTATACAAAAATAACCTATTCATAATGTTCTGGAAATGCTATTTTGTGGTTGAAAAATAAAAAGCTCCTAGAACCGTATTATTTAATTCTCAAAAAGATAAGCAAACAGAGAAATGTAAAAAAAAAAATATATATATATATATATATATATATATATATATATATATATATATATATATATATATACACACACACACACACACACACACACACACACACACACACATATACATATATATATATATATATATATATATACACACACACACATACACACATATATACATATACATATACATACACATACATACATACATACATACATACATACATACATATATATATATATATATATATATATATATATACACACACACACACACACACACACACACACACACATACACACATACACACATATATACATATACATATATATATATATATATATATACATACATATATATACATATATATATATATATAAAAATATATAGACACACACACACACACACACACACACACACACACACACACACGCGTGCGTGCGCACACACGCGCCCACACACACATGCTTAGAAATGTTAAAAATGTTCTCCCATTAAAAAGAAATTGGCCAAAAAACAAACAAACAAAAAAAAGAATTAGGGCTAATAATATATTTATATATAAAAGAAAATGCATATAAATAGTCCCTTTAACAAGTGAGTGTTAAATTGGTGTTGTAACATCCACAGCTCAATCTAAAAGGTAATCAGCAACTGTGTGGAGCGTATGCCAGCGGATGAGGGATTCTCAGATTCATTAGTGCAAGCTGACCACTGGAGGAGCCGCAGATATACAGCTGAAGTCTGATAAAGGTTCGTCCTGCTGAGCAACAAAAGACTCTTGCTGTGAAGTATAGAGGGATGCTTGGGACAAATCCCCTAAGAGACCAAAAAAATAGTGGAAACTCTTGACTTGAACATGATGCAATCCCAGAAGTCTGCGTCATGGACCTGCGCTTGATTTCTAATTTAACAAAGTGAAACTGGACAAAACAAGAATGAACGAAAACTACTCAATTGGTGTCAGTTTAATGTCTTTACAAAAACACCCAAAGTGAAATTTAACTGATTATAAATGCAGTTAAATCTGAATTGTAAAAATCTATATTATTATCATTAGCCGTTATCTATTTCAATGCATTTCAAATCAAAAATTCAGCTTTTCATCTCAGGATCAGTTTTTGGTGTCCTGCTTAATATTTCTTGTTTTTTAATAATTGTTAAAGAACAGAACTTACAAATGCATAGGTTTGAAATGCTCTTTTGTAACCTTATAAATATCTTTACTGTCAGTTTTGATTTAAAAAGGGACAGTTCATCCCACAGTTCATTTACTGAAGATGTAGGTGACGGTTTCTTCATTAGGACAGAAAAGAAGATTTTTAGCCAAACCTGGGATTTTTGGTGATCTTATAATGGAAGTCAATAGTCACCCGTTTGAGATTAAAAATTAACATACAAAACAATACATGTGACACACATTTGTGTGCGTTTTTAAAATGTATTTATTTATTTTCTTTTTTTTATAAACCGGTTACCATTTACAGGCATTATATGAAATCATAAAGGACTACAGACTGAGTGCATTTAATCTTTTACTGAAGCACATTAACAGGACATGTTCATGTTTGGGTAAACAATCTCTTTAATACAATGCTCTCAAACTCATTTCCTTTATAACCACAGCTCTGCAGTTTAGCTCCAACCAGCGCCAACTCACACGTGCTTACTTGTTCCTAGTACTCTTGAACATCTAGATTAGTTGGATCAGCAGTGTTAAATTAGAGTTGGAGCAAAACTGTGCAGTGCTGTGGCCCTCCAGCAATGGAGATTAAGACCTATGCTTTAATACAGGGGTCACCAAACCTTTTCCTGGAGGGCCGGTGTCCTGCAGATTTTAGCTTCAACCCTAATCAAACACACCTGATTAAGCTAATCAAAGTCTAAGGCCCCGTTTACACTAATGCGTTTTGGTTTGAAAACGCATAAGTTTTGCTACGGTTACGCCATCCGTCCACACTACGCCGGAGTTCTCGAGCGCCGAAAACGGAGCGTTTCGAAAACGCTGGAGAGGCCATTTTCATTCTGAAATGCTGCTGCTCCGTCTCAGTGTGGATGGGGAAAGACGGAGACATCTGAAAACGGAGGCGGGGCTGCAGACATTCGCCTCTCTGATTGGGGCTTTTCCTCAATATTAAGTAGCCTAACACACAGTTCAGTCATGAATCTTCTCCATGTAAGTTCAGACTTCGCAAGTTTGATCAAGGCTGCATCTCTTCTTCTTAGTTTGATATGGAAAACATACCGAGGACACGCGTCAATCTTCACAGGGAACAGTGTACTTTATAACTTCATTCACATCACCCTGGCTACGTTGTTTCACTTTCTCAACAATAAAATGTAAACATGATATAAGGAACTGCCTATTTTTATTTTAATATTAACAACTAAACAGACAGCAGAAATGTTGAGGCGTCGTGCTGCATATAGGAGCGTCATCTTCACTGTGTAGATATTTATAACAAAACAGAGCCGATAACAACTGCCTCCTTTCAATTTCAGTGAAAATACGAAACACACCCTCTCTTTTGCTGAATATCAGTTTTAATAATCGATAATGGCCATTATAAAAGTATAACATACAATAAGTTTATACATTATAGGAAATAAAGGCAAGAGATCAGTCAATATACAGAATGTAGGCTACGTGGTTACATTAATCATTAACTTATCTTTGCGCTCAGCCAAAACACGTTACCTGAGAACAAGTAATAGATTCCAATGACCAAAGCCAGGGAATATGTCGTTAGATAAAGACAACAAGATGAATGAAATATCACGTTTAATAAATATAGTGAGATTAGATCCAGCGGGAGATGCTTGATGAGAAGTCCGACTAGCAGAGCTCTCATCTGGGTAGATGGCCTCCAGCGATTGCCAAAGTGTGTGTGTGTGTGGTCACGTGATGTGCGTTTTCAGCGTTTTGGTGTGGACGGAGAGCAGTTCAGAAAAAACGCAAGTGTGGACGCGGATCGTTTTCATTCTAAAACGCCGTTTTAAAACTAAAACACACTAGTGTAAACGGGGCCTAAAGCTGCGGTCACACTAGGCTTTTCCTCCCACTGACTTCCATTCATACGCACACGAATGCGTCGGATCGGAAACATAGGGTCATGCATCAAGTTTCGGTGCAAAGTTAAAGATTGGTGAACTCTGACCTGCGAAATCGCATCACTTGACTGCGTGAGACCAATCGAGGATCAACACATGACCTCTCTGTACAGAAATGTAAAATATGGAGAAATCGCTCGCTTTTTAAATGTCTAATCATCTTGTTTAATCCCGCCCCTTTTCGCAGTGCGGCACGACAGAATTTCGCACACAAACTCTAGTAGTCTGCTTTACCAGGTATACTTGAAACATCCAGGCAGGTACGTTGAGGCAAACTGGAGCTAAACCCTGCAGAGACACCGGCCCTCCAGAACCGAGATTGGTGACCCCTGCTTTAGTATGTTCTTGTGAAAAGAACAGTATTCATTTCTTTGAAAGTGATGGCATCACAGAAAGGGAGGATCTTAATGAAATCTGAATGTATCTTAAAGGGACAGTTCACTCAAAAATAACAATAAATCACCATTTACTCACACTCTAGCTGTTATAAACTTCTTCCTTCTGTTCAACATAAAAAAAGATTTTTAAAAAGCAGCTATTGACATCCCTAATAGGAAGAAAAACAATTTTATGGAAGTCAATAGCAGTTTTTTTTCCAGCATTCTTCAAAATATCTTCCTTTATATTTACCAGAAGAAAGGTGAGTAAATATGACAGGATTTTCAGTTTTGTGTGAACTGTCCACGCAACTTAAAGGGCATCTGCTGCATAAAAATATATGCCATAGTAATTGGTGGTTCATTCCGCTGTGGTGACCCCTGATAAATCAGGGACTAAGCTGAAATATAGTAAGTAACCTGTCAATTTAACACCAGGTGAAATCAGTTGTGTCCATACTGATCAATTAGAGTGCGTGCCTAAGTGTAGAAACTCACTTTTAATCCCATCCAGGTCAGCGGAGGCGAGGGTCCGTGCCTCATATTCATCAGTGGGGATGCGCTGGTATTTGGCCTGTTCTGTCCCTGTCATGTTGCCTGTTCGGCGTCTTTCCTGCAGGTCGTAACTGCGACTCGACACACGGGGAATAGAGCCGTGTTCAGCAGTGCTCGGGGATGCAGGAGCCGCTTCAGACGCTCTATGAAAAGAAAAAAGAAAAAAAATAATAATAATAAAAAAAGAATGGTGTCCAGTAGGTGAATTTCTTCATAATGCATAAATGCTTTTCTTACTAGAAGTTTTTGTGTTGATTTTATTTGTCCAAATATCTAAAAATTCTGAAAATCAAGAAGCATTTTAGACGAACAAAAATATTGTCATTTTCGGGAAATAATCACCAGAAATCAAATGAAGCTTTTCCTTAAAACAAGCTAAATAATCTTCCAATGGGCCAAGCTAAATAATATGGTCTTTACTTTTGAAAGAAGGTTATTGTGCTAACCCCACAGGCATATTATTTTACTTGTTTTAAGGAAAAACTCACTTAATTGTGATACATTATTTATAAAAAAATAACTTTTTTTTTGTACTTGTCTAGAAAAATTAAAAAAATACATAAATAAATAAGCACACACTCACAAAGCTACACTGCCAAAAAAAAATATTTTAAAGATTTTTTTTCTTGTATCTTAAAAATATCAAGAAGTTTTTTCTTAAAACAAGCTAAATAATCTTTCAATGGAGCAGCAAAATTATTTTTTATAATTTTTTAAAAAGGCAAAAACAATATTATTTTACTTACTTTTTACTTTAGCAGAATATTTAGCTTGTTTTAAAGAAAACCCCACAAAAAAATTTGACTTATTATTTCTGGGAAAATATTTATATATTTTCCTTTTCAAGAAAATTCTTCTTGATTTTTAATTCGTTGTTGTTGTTGTTATTGTTTTTTAGATATTTTGGGCTAGAAGCAAGACAATAACTCTGCAAAAATGTCTTCTTGCTTGGTGTAATACTAATGCGATACAATTGGGAAATAAAAGGTACAATTATTTAGGGCTTAGTTATTGCACAATAAATTGTCAGAAATTTAGCATGTTGAAAAAAAATATTATGCAGCGTCCAACGTTCAATTTTTCTGAAATGTATTTATTTATATTTTTAAATAGTTTAAAATGCTTAATAAAATACAGCATGCTTTGACTTTCTTGATTTTGAAATATTTCTGTTTTACATCACAAAATCTTAAAGCATTTTGGATTTAGTTTGTAATAAATTCAAATCTTCATAAGCACTTAACATATTATTCTAGTTTTACAATGTTAAATATTAAACAGGCATTAAAGTTAAACATGCATTAAAAACATTTATAGGAAAATTAAAAATGTAGCGCTTAATGATAAAATAAAATCTACCAAAATATACTCAATAAATAAGCTTAATTTGCATTTTGTCTGTTCACAAAAAATAAGATGCAAAATGTTTAAAATTATGCAGCACAAATTATTCAAGTTTACTCAATCATAATGTGAATTCATAGAAACATATACGCACTTCATAAGATAAATTTAATTTAAAATCACTTTAAGACCATACAGAGTAAAGGGTGCTCTAATTCTCTCCCAAATAATATCATTCACAGATGTGAATATATAAAAAGTTTTGCATTCAATTTTGGAACACAGAACCCCCCACAAAAAACCTTACCTGCAGTTTATCTTGAGTTGTGTTTTGAACGATAAAACACTAGAAATGAAAAGTCCCTGTCATTGATCACTTCACAGGAGAACAGAAGTCAGTGTATGTAGAGAAATGTAAAGAGAAAAGGGACGGCGAGAGCTTTATAAGGTTACTGAAGTTTACGGCTGAATGATGTAGACAGTGCTGATGGAGAGCTGATGCCCTGCTGCTCTTTTAAATAACTGGCACTGGGAAACCAATGGGTTGTGTGTGTGTGTGTGTGTGTGTGTGTGTGTGTGTGTGTGTGTGTGTGTGTGTGTGTGTGTGTGTGTGTGTGTGTGAACACTGACGTTTGGTTTACAGTAAACTACCAGAAACACTGGATACGACCAGCATTTCAGAAGAGCACATAACAAAACTGAAATTGTCAAAACAATGAGACGGCAACTTCTCCTTCAGAGAGAACACTTCAAACAAAGTTTCCAATAAAAACACAAGTCCAGGTCATATTTCACAGCAAAAACTATCACACTCAACTGCATGAAAAAAAAGAAAAAAAGTTGATATTATTATTATTTATTAATATCATAGAATTTCTCTGTGGAGTTTGCAGGTTCTCCCAGTGTTCGCGTGGGTTTCCTCCAGGTGCTCCGGTTTCCCCCACAGTCCAAACACATGCACTATAGGTGAACTGGATACACCAAATTGGCCGTATTGTATGAGTGTGTGTGTGAATACTAGACTGTAAGGGTGTTTCCCAGTACTGGGTTGCAGCTGGAAGATTCCGATGTTTCTTGTTTGTGTATCCATTGTGGAAAACACTATTTACCATACATCTATGTAAATTTGGAAGCATAAAATAAATAAATATTTTCTAGGCCACACTTTATTTTAAATGTACAATTCCCGCTATTAACAAAACATTAACAGCTAGTAAGGTAGTAGTTGATTTTAGCCAATATTAGGGACGTAAAATAAGACCAAACATTATAAGTGCTCATAAATAGTTGATATCTTAATAAAAGGCAGGTAATAAGCCAGTAGTAAATACTGCAAATTCATTTCTGTCTTTTTGGCAAAGTCCCTTTATTAATCTGGGGTCACCACAGTGGAATAAACCGCCAACTTATCCAGCATACATAGCGGATGCAACCCATCACTGGAAAACATCCATACACACTCATTCACTCCCATACACTACGGACAATTTAGCTTATTCAATTCACCTATAGAGCATGTCTTTGATCAGTGGGGAAGGAACCCAGAGGAAACCCACACCAGCACGGGGAGAACATGCACAACTCCACACAGAAATGCCAACTGACCCAGCCGAGGCTCGAACCAGCGACCTTTGTGCAGTGAGGTAACAGCACCACCCACTGCGCCAACATGACACCCATGGTGTAAATTGTAACTTAATAAAATTAATGAGTACGGTAACACTTTAGTTTAAGTAATTCTTTAATACTAATATAATTTTGTTAATTTATTAATATTTTACATTTATTAATGTCACTATTTTCATGATTTAACAAGTTACATTCTCAGTACTGTTTTGCATCTGTTTGATATCAGATTTTCATAATTTGGAAAAAAAAAATTTAATTGAAGGAAAGAATGAAATTAATAAATGAAAGGCCGTACATAAAAAAAATGACTAAAACTTATTTTAATCAATGTAATAAAACTGTATTATTATTATTATTATTATTATTATTATTTAATTATTTATTATTAATATTTTATTTTAAATAATGAAATAAAAAATAAAATCAAATAAAAATAACTTGAATTTTTCTTTTTTAATATAATTAAAAATAATAAAATGATAAAATAATCAAATATTAAATACATTTAGTCTACTTTTCTCTTATTTTAATTTCTGGTGTAAAAAAAATAAAATAATTGAATAAAAAGTGACGAGTTTGCTGCTCAGCTTTCCGTGATTCACCTTACTACGGTTTATTTAATAGTAAAAACCCTTTAAATCAAGCTCCATAATCACTGAAAAAAATATAAAAATGTAGTTTACAGTAAAAATTAACTCCAGTAAAGACGTCCTGTGGTTACCATTTGAAAAGTTAGCATTTGAGTGAATGATGACTTTTGGTCGAGGCTTTGCCTCCAAGTAATGACATCATGAGGTGACGCACCAGCAATATTTCAGTGAATGTGTACAGTATGTATGATCCAGTAGAGCAGGACTCACTCTGTGGATGTGCTGTCTTGAGGCTCTGAACACACAGCAGTCGTCGGCACGATCAATATTCCTCGCGTGGGAACAGGATCTGACGTCTCAGGGGTGGAAACATGAGGGTCATCATCTGACACGAAGAACTACACCAGAGAAAAATGACAAAAGTAATGCATAATATAAGGTATTGTAAAGCACCGACTTCACATGTAGAGTCTTTAGACATCAATGCATCATCATGAGCAACAGGTGTTCATTTTGTTTTGCCTGCATGTCTTAAAGAGCCGGAAAACGCTGACTTTGTGATTTTACTTGTTTGTTTACCTGAACGTTGTCTTTTCTGTCATTGTCTGTTGTCGGTGCTGGAGTGACACTCTGGTTTTCTGCAGACTCTTCTTCCTCCTCTTCCTCCTCATCTTCACCTTCCTCGATGGCCAGAGCACCGCTGGGGCTTGAACACACTTTGTGGGGTTTGCTGCTGCTCCGTCTCCTCTTCCTCCCACTCTTCTTCCTCCTGTTGTCTCCAGGGAGTTTGGATAGAGGGTGATGAATGTGATGGGAGGACTGACGGTGATCTGGAGGTTATTATAACAGAGTTTGAATTTTTATATATATATATATAAAAATTCAATGCAATAAAGCTGAATGAAATGCAATATAATCCAGTGCAATGCAATGCTGTGAAAATAAAATACACTAAAATACAATGCAAATAAATGCAATGCAATATAGTGAAATGCAATACAATTAAAATACAACCAAATGCAATGCAATAGAATGCAATGCAACAGAATCAAGAACAATGCAATTTAATGGAATGCGATCGAATGCAATAAAATAAAATGCAATTCAATGCTATGCAACGCAGCAAAAGTAATGCAGTTAAATACAAACAAATGCAATGCATTAGAATTTAGAGCAATGCAATAAAAATGCAATCGGATTGCACTTTGCTGCATTGCATTCAGTGTAATGCAATAAGATAAAATGCAATTTAATCCAATGCAATCAAGTTAAATACAAACAAACGCAATGCATTAGAATCCAGTGCAATGCAATGCAGCCAAGTGCAATGCAATAGAACGAAAAAAATGCAATAAAATGGAATGCACCATAAGTTGCAAAGCAATCCAGTGCAATGCAATATATTGTAAAAACATTGCAATGCAAAAGAATGCAATGCAATATAATGTAATGCCAAAATTGCAACGCAGCAAAAGTAATATCAAATTCTATACAAACAAATGCAATGCAATAGAATCCAATGCAACAGAATCCAGTGCAATACAATATGCAAAAAAAATGCAACAGAATGCACTGCAACAAAAAAAGCAATCATTGCATTAGAACCCAGTGCTATGCAATCAAATAAATTGCCATGCAACAAAATGCAATAAAAATGCAATACACTAAGTTATAAAATCAAATTAAACGCAAGCAATCCAGCGCAATGTAATAAAATAAAATGCAAAAACATTGTAATGTAAGAGAATGCAAAGCAATATAGTGTAATGCAATAAAATAAAATGCAATGCAGCAAAAAGTGACGATATTAAATTAAATATAAACTAATGCACTAGAATCTAGTGCTATACAATAAATTACAACAAATTGGAATGTAATAGAAAGCAATAAAATAATATGCAATAGAACAAAAACTCAACGATGCAAAAGCAATAGAATGCAATAAAATCAAATGCAATAGAATGCACTGCAACAAAATGCAATCCGATGTAACACAATAAGATGAAATGCAATGCAATAAAATGCAATCAAATGCAATGCATTACAATCCAGTGCAATGCAATACGATAAAATGCAATGCAGCAAAATGCAATGAAAATGTGATAAAATAAACTACAAATGAAGAAAAATGCAATGCAATAGAATGCAATGCAATGCACCAAAAGTTATAATACCAAATTAAATGCAAGCAATTGAGTCCCATGCAATAAAATAAAATGCAAAAATATTTCAATGCAAGAGAGTACAATGCAACAAAACGAAATGCAAAAAAAGAAAAACCTAAAAAAATACAATCGGACAAAATGCAATGCAATAGAAAGCAAATGGAATACAATTCAATGCAAAGTGATAGAATTCAACGCAATAAAATGCCATGCAAATATGAAATCCAATAAAGAAAGAAAGCAATGTAGCAGATTGCAATGCAGTAAAATGAACTACAAAGCATAAAGTAAAACAAAATAAAAAATGTGTGTGAACCTACACTCAAAGTCTTTCTCATTGTAGGATCGGTGCTGATCGCCGGGAACTCTGGCAGTGGGACTGAGGATCTGCTGGAAGCGCTGAACCCCTAATGATTTGTTCAGGTCATCTTCCTCCTCTTCCTCCCTCTGTGAAACTCGGACAGGTAAGGATGAGGACTCAGGCTAAGGAGAAAGATGGTGTTATTAATGGTGTTATTTGAACTCTTTTTTGCATATATGTGGGTCAATGCTTACAAATGTTTTCAATTGTTTTATTGTCTTTTGTTAGGATACTTGTTTAAGGATTATTTGTAGGATGATCTTAAATGTCTCGAAACGCACCTATAAATAATATGATTTTTATTATTATTATTATTATTATTATTATTATTATTATTATTATTATTATCACCACCATACATCATAGAACACAAAGGGTCATAAAAACAAAATACATTTTATCCTATTATTAGGAAAATTATTATTATTATTATTATTATTATTATTATTATTATTATATTTGTTATTATTATTATTATGAAAAAAGCTGAAAAAAAGTTACATTTCATAAACCTCAAACCAAGGTCAAATATGTTTTGAAAAATTGAATTGTGAAAAAAATTATATATAATTACAATTTAAAAAGAATACCACATTTCATAAATTAATAAACCTAGTTACTATAAATAAAATATCAATAAGGACAAATTGCAAAAAAAAAAAACATTGATAAAACAGCAGTGCTATGACACACCTGCAAAAATAAAATGGCATCAAATCAAAGCTAAACCAAAACAGCAATGTAAAATACACAAAATATGTATGTTTGTTTAAATTACAGTAATTAAAGTCAATAGTATGTATTTTCTTTATTTTTAGTGAACATAATTGTTTTTCTCTTTGTTTTTAGCATAATGCTATTATAAAGAGCAAAATAATTATGTTCACTGCCAACAATGCCCATAAACAATCACTAGAGGGAGTCATTTTATAGAAAATAAATTAATTGAATCAAAATTCAGCCCAGAAAAACCACACAGATTTTCCTTCTTTCATGATTTAGAGCAGTCAATCTTTCTAAATGAATAAAGGAAACATGACATAATGCATATCAAATGCAAACTCTAAAAGCTTTACAGCTCACTGGAGCATGTCCTGCAATAGCAAAAAGCAAATATCCTCGAGTCAAAAACTCATTACACTGCAATATATATATATATATATATATATATATATATATATATATATATATATATATATATATATATATATATATATATATATATATATATATATA